CCCGGCTGGCTTAAGGACTTTGTTACTTCGTAAGGAGAACTTGTTAAGAACTTATAAATGACAGCGAATGTACTTTTAACATGTTTTGGAAAAAGGGAAGATATGACAAGTTGCGTGACTTGCTATGTGATATCTAACCACACGAGTCTCTGTTATATTGTTGATTCAGCCAATGAAATGCATTTACGCGTGATTGCACAACCGTGTGCTCGAGTTCCTAAAACGTTGTTGAACGTCGCTAGACTGCATATAGTTGTTTACAATAAATCTCCGTTTAATACCCAAGTGCTGTTTCTTACACGGATCTTCCCAATAAATAACGTAAGTGTGACCTCAACCTATAATTTCACAAAATTTTAAGCTATTTTCAATAAGTAAAAAAATTCATTTGACTTTTTGTTTGAGTGAAGGCGGTGGGACCATGGCCTGGTGACTAGGGAGCAGACCTTTCTCCCAGGCCCCAGGTTGAAGCCCTCCAGCCAGTTAGGGTTCAGTTGAACGCTATATATTCATGTTGAACGATAACGTTTATTTTCAATTTGTTTGCATGAATTTGAGGCCCACAAATCTATAATTTTTGTAACTGTTTAGTGTAACCATCTGTTAAGAAATTCTTTACTATTATGAAAGTGGTACTCTTTTGATTTAGGTGCTATTTAGTACACATGTTTACACAATTGGGCGCGATATCGCAGTTTGATTTAAATAAAAAAAACTTAATATCAGTATACGAGTTTTAGCTGTGTTCGCCTAATCTAACTAACCTTCAAAATTCGGACTGTCCATTTCGTTTACTCTTTGAGGATTTTCGTCTCTGTTTACGTTATAATAACGTTACGTTATTACAAAGTTGTTTCATCTTCATTTAATTTCACACTCGATTTCGGATTCGATTTCGGATTGGGAGTCAAATATTTGAATGTTTTTTAGGAAAATACTTAGCCACACTTATTTGAGGAAATCTCCATGAAAACCTCATGAAAATGTGAGTAACGCAGTTGTGTTACGCAAATGTAACAAAAGTTTGTCACGCATCACAAGGAAACTTGTCAGCGGTTGATCACACAAACGTGTATGATAAAATGTGGTGAAATCGAAAAGCTATCCTGCACGTGTTGCAAATTTTTATCACTATTTCTGTTTCGCAGCTTCAATTTTACCTTGTTACAAAAGTTGAGCAGGTTAATTTGAGTTGAGGTTTATTCAAGACAAATTCTTAACGGTAAAGTATCAAAAAATACCCTAAAAATGGCAGAAAACGACGCCGTAAATGGCAACAAGGAAGCACCTACGGACCTCGAAAAGAAGATCATCAAGCAAGTGGAGGTAACGCTGCTATTTTTATCTACAGTCAGAGCTTATGATTAATACATGAGTCTAGTTCTTGATATAATGTCAAACTGGAACTTTACTACGAATCTTTATGCTAAGTAAATACTTTTTTACCAATGTACTTTAGGCATCGTTAATCATTCAGCAGAACGTTCGACTTATAGGTAACTTAAATCCGTATGGTCAAGCTGGTCAATAAGCGAACTGTACTCTCTGCTCAGTTTGTAGAATGTACAGTACTGAAATGGTTAAGATGAAAAACTGAGTTTTGTGCCTCTACTGAAGACTTTGATATTTTTTTGTATTGCATTTACGCTTGATTTTGTCATCATGATTAAGTTCTCGAGGTCCCGAGACAGTCGTTACGTTATGTGGTGCAATTTAAGGTGGCTCGACTGGATTTTTCAAAAGTCATACTGTTCAAGTTTGAAAATTAACTACGACGCCACGAGCAACGTTATGGTAAAACAATTACCACAGCTGTATTACAAAAAGATGAAAGTTTGTTGTGATTGGTGTTATGTTGACATCGGAGTTTCCATAGCAACGTAATGACGTCATGACAGTTTTTTGCTTTCGTTCGTATTTCTCAGTACCATGAGGTTTTTTCGTAAATCGCTCACTGGAGCTTTTATCTCTTGTTATTGCCTAGATGTTGGCCAAGTTTGAACAAATTCAATGAGAGCATTTTTGAAAATTTTGAGGATGAAGTTTTGAGGGTTAAAAATACAGTAAAAACATTGTTGTCGAGATAATTTGGTGATATCTAAAGAAAACGATGCGCCTTGGGAATGCCGCTATACCACGTAGTTGCTTTATTCCACTTCAAATTGTATGTAAAAAGTTGGCGAGATTGCTCTTACCGATTGTGAGAAAAAAGGGTTTGATGCCTTTGCATTCAGATGCTCTTGTTGTCATTTTGCGTATAATTTGGTCTATGCCAACAAATATTGTAATATTTTAAAAACTGCTCGATAGATTTTTTTTTAAAAATCGTCAGTGCTAAGTTGTATTTTCATTGTATACGGCCTGCAGTTTTCAAGGTTATTGAAAATGTGGAAGTTAATAAAATTGGGCCTCAAAAGTACTAATTTGTTATCCCCCATATCGTGTTTACAAGTGAGCGACCTCATTATTCACAGGCATTGTTTTAAATTCTCATATCCGCGTGCACAACTTCAGCAAAAAATGAATTTGCATCAATTAGAAAGTTCGACTGCATTCGGAGATTTTTTTCCGAAACATGTTAATATAAACTGAAATTTTAATGAGCTGATTTTTAAAGGCATTTGTCACGCAATTATGCTGTAATGCAGCAATGCCGAGGGTATCTCTGACGAGGAAACGGAAAACTGTTGCTCTGCAGAAAAACCAACTGACCGAGCACTCGCAAAGAAAGCTCCACGGAGCTCGTGAAAACAATTAACAGTTGTCTCGGAGCTAGAAAATCATTCACAGACGAGGACAGACGAGAAAAAAAAAAGCCATATATTTTGTTTATTTATTTTCTCACCGTGGCATAGTCGCGTTTCCTTTTATTTAAATTTGTATTACATGTCTTATCTGAAATGTTCATTTAATTACCAAGTATTATTGTTTAACAATTATAATATACAGAATCATATATGTATTTATATAAGCGATTATTCTTAAATAAATATTATAACTTTAACAAACGTGAATCGGGAAGATAAAAGTCAATAAACAATTTTCTGAACAAACTCTGATATCTTTTTTTTTTTCTAATTTTTACATCGATCACCTGAAACTGCAAGGAGAGGCATTGCTGCCAACTAATGATAATAACATTCACCACTGAGATATTACATCTCTAAACAAAACTATAATTATCTAATGTCTCCTTAAAAAAAAAAATACTAATAGCCAACATAATCTTAGCAAAATAAAAAAATATACAACAAGGGGTTTGGTTCGGCATTTGCGACAGTATTATCCTGTAAGTTGTCTGTAACAAACTTTGACGAGCTTTCTTTTTCTTGCTTTTAAATCATAATCACCAAGACATTCCCGCCGGTAAATGAAAACATCGATATCATTCATCAATGAAAACCTTAATCTAAGATTGCATTCGTACAAAATAGTTAACCACTGCTGTGAGTATGTTTAGGTTTTTCGTCACCCTTGGCTTACTCCGCTTTTCTTGAATTTGCTCAAAGGACTCTGGAAGAGCTAGCACCGCTAACAGAGCTTTCGTTCCACCTTTCTTGTAAACACCCTGCATTGTTTCGTAGTCAAGCCCGGCCTTTCCCATTTTCTCCTTCATTCCTTCGGAGACCGGGAGGCGATGCAGCGTGGACTTTCGGGATTTTGCCTCTTGTGCTGAGTTCATTTTTTTTTACGAACAGTTCTGCAGGAACTGCGTGCGTCTGAATTCTTTCAACAGATACTTGCAGAGGGGACTGAAATAAAATACGCGACAAGGCGGTAGCATCTTCTTGTGCATCATGTGCATCAAACTTTTCTTTCAGTAAAACTTCGTAAACGTCGGACAAAGATTTGCTCTTGCAGGAATACAAAGGGCTACCTTTCTGCTTCATTTCTGTCGAAACAATCTTTAGAGAGTCCACAAGGACAACACCAGTAGCCAGGAACAATTCAAGGAGATTGTTCCTTCTCAGAGCATTGATCAGAACTGGGAAGTCAAACTTTTCACCATTGTGTGCAATAAGGACAACTTGGAAGGAACGGGACTGCTGTTTTAGGAAACTGCAAAAATCACTGAGACCCTGAGTTTGCGATACGGCCTCCAGTTCTTTCCCTCTTCTCAATAATGTTTTTCTGCCCTTACAAAACTCTACACTTATACCGTGGACTTGCGTCGCTGACTGGCCAATAATTCGATTTTCTGGAAAAAGGTTTACCGAAAATGATTTGGTTTCAGCATTTGGTGGAATGCATGAAATCTGCAGAATATCCGATTTCCGGTCTAGACCTGTTGTTTCTATGTCGAGGGCCAAATGAAGAAAACGTGAACGTTGTTGGATTACAGGTAACTCGGAGACTTCCTGGCTGTTCCCTTCGTTGGATTTTGGGAGATCATCGGTATAATCACTAAACTCCTCCTTTGTCAGACATGCCTTTAGATCGTTCATGGTTGCATTCGTGATGGCGGCTTTCTCTTTGTCGCTCTGTTGCCAGCCGATCCCTGTCTCGTACGTTGCTGACTCGCGTTTCTCAGCAGAATTGGTCTTTTGATTCTTTTTCTTTCGAGAGTTTCTTCTCGCTTTTTTGAACTCTTTTGTTGACTTTCGCTCGCCATCCCTTTTCCTTTTCTTGTCAATTTTGTCGGTGTTCTGTTCTGTGATATGCGTCTGTGCCAGACCCATTTTTTCCGTGGCTAATGTCAGATATCTGTTCCCTTTGTTAAACTGAGCTATTCCTGCAGCGGTTCTAAAGTCGCTGCTTTGCGAGCCTCCATAATGTCTTATTTTCGGCGCTTTCGAGCCAATGGAACTGTTTACACTTTCATTTCTCTGTGATGAGCCCGCTGGGGCCAGCTTTTTCACGGAGTCATGAGAAAGAAATGGTCGAATAGCTTCTTCCAAGGTTGCACGTAAATCTTCGCCCGTCAGGTCCTTGCCTCCTGGAAGACTTCCGTGCTTGTAGCCTTCAGGGTCTTTTTGTATCCACACCAGGAATTGCTGCAGTTATCGTGTTTGCCAAACGCGTGTGGTACGATAGAGGTGAGCCCTTCGAGTAATGAGGATGGCTGGCCCTTGTTTTTGGTTAACACAGTAGGTGAAGCTCTTTTGGATGTAGGATATCACGTTAGGAGTCAACCCTTTAATCTTTCCTTTAGCCATGTATAATCTCGTTCCCAGTGTACGACTTGCATGATTCACATCACTCCATTTATCAATGTCGTAGTTAACCAGCGTTTTGAGATGGTTTTCTGTGACCTGTCGTCATCTCCCACATAAGTCGAGTAAATCACTCCACTTTTCGGGGCGCTTGAAAAAAGCTCGACTGCTACGTTTGCCTCCATACTTTTCGAGGATCCTTCGTGGTTTTTTTCGACAGTCGTGGCTTTCTGCTTCTTTATTCTTTTTCTCCGCTTCGTCACAAACCCTACACATTTTATTGCGAGTAGCATAACTAATGACTTTTCCGGTATGTAACCCCACTGCTGTGCCCCTCCTGACGACGAGTCGTGACAACGTCCTCGCTTTCTCCAGCCCATATCGTACGACACTCCGAGTTTTACTACTTCCTCATTTCCAGTCGTGGACAACCGCTTTTCTTCCTCATTAAACTGATTACAAGAATCTTTAGCCACTTCTTCTACTGCTTTTCCACTTTCTCTTTCCCGCTTTTTGAAATTGCTTGAGGAAATTGATGGTACACCAAGTGTTGTAAGAAATCCAGAGGTATGCGTATGTCCCAATCCACAATGCAGTGCACCAAGCCCAGCACGGGAATTAGCGTCGAAGGTGGGAGGGCCTCTTTTTCCAGTACGATGATGCTCGGCCGGGCGTACGATGTTAATAAACTCACATTGTGTGCATTTAACTTTTAGTACTGGACACACTCCTTCCGGGCGAACATTAAAACTATTACGTAAATCTAGGGGTCCTTGTTTACAATTCACACACTCGCTCAAAGCGGTTGTTAGCATTTCCAAATTAACCACATAACACTGATCCATGTTTACAGCTTTTGTGTACGGCAGACTTGATCTCAAGGTGGGTCCCTCCGGAACATTGTCGGCTGTATTGCCTAAACTTATTTCATTTCTAACTTTATCACTCCATCGCTGCTCTCTCATTGCCTTGCATTGTTCTTTCCTAACCGTTTTGGATCTGTAATTAGCTGGACGCCCTGGTTGAGACTGTAGCTGCTCCTCAGCATCCTGTAAACAAAATTTACTAGTTATATAACAAATCACTGACAAATGGAGACCCTCATTGAAATAATGTAGAAAATCGTTATGAAAACATCCATACCTGTGATTCACTTCGTCTAGCCTTCTTTCCTACGGCCACGTTGTTCTGCAGAACAGCAGTTTTCCTTTTTCTAGTCAGAGATTCTCTCGGCATTGCTGCATTACCGAATAATTGCGTGACTAATGCTAAAATTTCAGTTCATATTAGCATGCTTCGGAAAAATATCCGAAAGTAGTCGAGCTTTCTCTTTAATGCAAATGCATTTTTCGCTAAAGTTGTGCACATGGATATGAGAATTTAAAACAATGTCTCTGAATAATGAGGTCGCTCACTTGTAAACACGATATGGGGAGTAACAAATTAGTACGTTTGAGGCCCAATTTTATTGACTTCCACATTTTCAATAACCTTGAAAACTGCAGGCCGTATACAATGAAAATACAACTTAGCACTGACGATTTTTTAAAAAAATCTATCGAGCAGTTTTTAAAATATTACAATATTTGTTGGCATAGACCAAATTATACGCAAAATGACAACAAGAGCATCTGAATGCAAAGGCATCAAACCTTTTTTTCTCACAATCGGTAAGAGCAATCTCGCCAACTTTTTTTACATACAATTTGAAGTGGAATAAAGCAACTACGTGGTATAGCGGCATTCCCAAGGCGCATCGTTTTCTTTAGATATCACCAAATTATCTCGACAACAATGTTTTTACTGTATTTTTAACCCTCAAAACTTCATCCTCAAAATTTTCAAAAATGCTCTCATTGAATTTGTTCAAACTTGGCCAACATCTAGGCAATAACAAGAGATAAAAGCTCCAGTGAGCGATTTACGAAAAAACCTCATGGTACTGAGAAATACGAACGAAAGCAAAAAACTGTCATGACGTCATTACGTTGCTATGGAAACTCCGATGTCAACATAACACCAATCACAACAAACTTTCATCTTTTTGTAATACAGCTGTGGTAATTGTTTTACCATAACGTTGCTCGTGGCGTCGTAGTTAATTTTCAAACTTGAGCAGTATGACTTTTGAAAAATCCAGTCGAGCCACCTTAATATACAAGGAAGCATTTTTAGTACTTCACTCCAAAACCCTCATGATCAGGATCCACAATGGGACTGTAAAGAATGCTTATACAATTTAATTTTTTTTAAATAAAGATTATTATTTGGCAGTAGCACAATTGTATATGATTACCACTTGCAGAACAAACTGTTAAACTCTCAAATGCAATTTGGAACATTTGACCCTTCCTTGCAAAATCTTTACAATATATAGCAAACAGATCATAAGTGGGGATGAGCATTTAGGTGAGGTTGTGTCCCTGGGATCTAATGCCAAACTCTCTAAACTGCTTAACAAGGAAATATACAGCAGTTATTAGGGAGAAATGAGGATTAGATCAAGAAAGTTAAAAGGTCAGGGAAGTTTTTTCTTTCTTTGTAATCACCCCGGTCAAAGTATTATAAAAGGTGACATCTAATACCCTTAGGACTTCACAATAAAGTTACCTTTATTGACTGATTTCTTGACAAAAGCCTAGGGATATTATTGGAGTGTCTTGCAACGTTTAACAGACTCAAGGTAGAAATTTGATGTCAAAAATTTAAGATGTTCTCAATTTATTTATTTTTATACAAGTTGCTCCATCAACAGTCTTTGACTTTATCTTTAGGCATTATCAACAGATACAGATGTTATTGCAAACGCTTTGAGAAAATCAGATGCAGGACTTGTCGAGGTACAAACACTTGATGTGTCAATCTTCTTATTTCTTGGTCAACCACTCATGGCAAATAGTCAACATCCCTTTTTCCTAAAAAACAAGCTCAAAAGTTACCAATTACCATTACAACTCTTAGGACCCTAAGCTAGATTGAAAACGGTTGACATCTTCTCTGAAGGCTTGTTTACACTTAGTCAGGGCACTGTTGTTCCAACGCGTGTTTTACATTCTAATCGTCACGCTGCGAGTATTACACAAAGGGGGCACTAATGACAAGCTATTCCCAAAACAATACTAGGGTTGTTCAGCTTTGCACAATGTTCTTTACAACACCGTTTGACATATTTTTGTCCATCCTTGCACAGGAAATCTCTAGAAAGCGATGACTTTCTTTTCGATGAATACACCAACCAGAAACGCTTTTAAGTTAAATGAATGATAAAATTGAAATATAATCGTAATAATAACAATGAATGATTATGACAATAAAAAAATAATGGTAAAAATTAGAATTGATTACAATAATGTTAATGATGATGATGATGATGATGATGATGATGATGATGATGATAATAATGATAACAATAATAATGAACATTATGATAATACTTGAATACTTCAAGAATCAGGCAAGTTTAGTAACAGATTTTCTTTATTCAGATCATACAAATTCAATCAATTCGTTTCCTAGAAAAATATTATACCCCTATTAAAAAAATAAGCATGAAGTCTGTAGTAATTGCAAATGCAGACTACATTCGACATGTTTGACTAGTTCCTAGAATTTCCCCACTTACGGGTGGAGATTCGTTTAGATATATTGAATACAAAGTTCGGGAAAAACGCTTACGTTCCTCTCCACAAATAATATTATTGTCTTATTACAGACAAACTTATTTTACGTTCAGATCTGAAGCGATTTTTCAACTGCGTGTTGCAGATATTTCCTCACAGTGTTCTAAGACTGCCTGAAAAGTCTTAAGCCAGTTATTGTAAGCCATTCGGATGCAAAGACAAATAAGCTGTTGGCGAATCTTTTGCAGCTGTTTTGTGGGATGTCGCGCAAGGCTTATTCCTTTTTCAGGAGGAGTGTTGCGTGACATTTCAGAGAACGGTTGCGAAGGAAAACAGCAAAGTGTCAATCACGTGTCTTGGGCGGCTTCATCAATTGTTTTCAGGTAATCTAATTGTGTGAACTATGTGATTAATTTATTCCTATTCAATTAATTACTTCGACTCAACAGACTTCCCCCTAAAACTTATGCTAAAGTGATACCGAAACTTTTAGAGCTAAATAGATGTTCTTTTCCATAATCTCACGCACAAAAGTTAAAAATTAAGTACTTTTTATCGCGTTTCAAGTAAAAACCATCATTCCCATGACTGATTAATGAATGAAAAAATTTTTCTAAACAGCACTTGCAGTAACCATACAATTGTTTCCTTTTAGTTCAGAATATTTTTGACAAAAAAATCACATACCAAGGTAAAGTATTACCCCAAATTGAATCATAGACAAACATACACTTAATAAAAATAATCTTTGCCCAAAAAGGCAAAATAATTTTTACCTGAAGCGAATTCGAGAAGTTGATAATTTAGTGTAGAAAAACTAAAACCATAGTAATCACAACTGCTCATCAGAACAAAGGTTGACATCATCATCAATCAATGAGAACTCAAAATAAAAACTAGCAACTTGCTTGAAGCGCGGGAAAACGCGTTGACCAAGCTGGATTGGTTTAAGTTTTGCATCTGATTGGTTGAGATGATGGCGCGAGTTTTCTGGACCAATCACAGACCGCAGTAAAGCAAAAACAAAGCAAAATGTCTCTAGCAGGTTACTCAAACATTTGTAAGCGGTGGTTACTTTGATCAACAACAACAATTCGCCCAGTTCTAAGAATAGCTATTGCATTTGGAGACCGGATTTATATCATCGCGTTGTCTTACCAGCTGAGCGTAGTATTCATCAAGTTGACCGAGAGAGTTCATCTTTTTTTGCAGGTTGCGTCTTTGGACGTCAAGAAATGATTTAGTTTCAATCTTTTGTCTTTCAGCTTTTTCTTCGATGTGCTCTAGAGTGTGACCACTATGACTCATCGTGGCGCAGGTTTGACAAACAGGCGATTCGCATTTATTGCAAAAGTATTTCAGTTCTTCTTTCTCATGTCGCGGCTTCAAGCAGTACAACGGGCGTTTTAACACATCCTCGAAGTCTTTGTATTGAAATTCTTTTAGTGCCATGACACGATGATCTTTGTTGCTCTTCATAATGTTATGTCCAATGACATAAAATGGAAACAGTAAGAACTTTCACAGCTCCTCTTTTCGCAATTTTCACATCGCACCCGGCTACTTTCGCACTCTTTTATGGCCAGCACATCGATCAAACCGTTTAGATAAAAACTGGTCGGAAGATCTCTCAGATCGCCACTTTCAGGCACTCTGCTAACGACTTGACATTTCGGGCATCTTATCGTCTCATGGCTGGGGCTTGATCTGTGCCACTGTTTCAAGCATAGCAGACAGAAACTGTGAAGACATGGAAGGTGTTTTGGTTCCGTGTAGATGTTAGTACACACTGGACGAGACACTTCTTCTCGAAGATTATCTAGCAATGTTTTGATATCCATGTCTTCAGTATCAAGTAAGACGGGAGGTGAAGAGGCGAGGTAGAGTCTCGAAATTCAGCATGAAGCCTTGTGCTTCCTTTTTGCCTAAGAGTTATATTGGAATCTATTATCTGTTGTGATAAAAATTTTCTTTGTGGCAACTAATCACTGTACGTTGCTATCGTATCGAACCATACAGAATACTTTATATGCGTGCTGACTCCCAAGTATGCAAGCCCTAAGGCACCGTGCTGATACATGAACACACTGATGATATCGAAAAGTCAGTAAAACGCAATTCTTTGCAACCCAAGAGTATTCGATTTAAGGTCTTACAACGGAGTTATCTTAAACAGGAGAAGCCACTTCTATTATGAGTAAATTGAGTGACCTCGAAACTGTGAGTGACAAACAAGTGCCGAAAAACATCACATAACTTCCTTGATAAAATCCTGCTAGATATCGAACGAATACTAGCGATTCTAACTAATATCAAAAGACAAAAGAATGCAAAACAAAGATGACCTCGCCACATATATTTACCTCTAACGTCACTTTAGGCGTGTTGCTCATGTGAGCGCTAAAAATTCTCACAATAAAACGTGGACACTCCATAGTCTCAGAGAAAATGAATTTGGATTTTACGAACTTCTCGCATCGGTTTACCTTAGCCCCAATCTCCTGTAATTGCTTTACCGTCACCCCCTAAGTAAATTCCGTCGTCCCTATTTTCGTGAACTTTCTACTGCAATGAATCAATTGGTGCTAGCAAGTAACGCGGTAGTCAAGCGTCAAGCATGCGTCAGTGGATCACAGTTTTGGCCAGCTGTGTACAACACGGCGGTCAAGCGCAGGGGATACGCGAGGAGATTAATCTGTGACGCTTATGCGCCAATTTCCCTCGCAAAATGTCTGAGGAAAACATAGGAAAAACCCTCTGTCTCAGAATAAATTATGCTCAAGAAAATTGAGACTTTCGTGGAAATCTGTTAAAGGAAACAAAAAAGGAAAACTCAAGACTTTTCGAACACAAGCATTTACCATTCCGTTTTGAGCTTTACTCAAAAAGATGTACGCTCAAGTTAAGGTGGCCATTTGACGCGTATGGTACAAAGAAAGTAATTAACAACTATACACCGAAGTGGAGGTAAATATCCACCACCTTCAACGACACTTAAGTGAAAAATTGTATATACCACACGGAAAAGTACAAAAATTAGTTAATTTCTTTCAATATACCGAAAAATGGTCGAAAATTAAACTCTTGACGCGCGAGGCGAATAGTTAAATTAACAAAGGCAAAAGATTAAATTGAAATAAAAGGGGTTGAGAAGGTCAATGTGTCGAAAATTCTGCCGCCGATCCGCGATTGTACGTTCTGTCTTATTAAATTTCCCCCATGACAGTGGCGAAGTATTCAGGTTTAGTGCACTTTGTTACTAAAGTTAGTGTTGGTCACAGTACCCCGTTGTTGTCTCAAATGACCCTGTGTTGCTCCAAGTTGTCCAATCCAGAGTAAAAGAAAAAGGAAATTTGGCCATGAGGAATCAAGGAGATCCAGAAAAGGGCCCCTGATGTCATTCAGTGACTCTTATCAGTGAAAAGGAATGCAGTGTTCCCGAGTATGTTTGTGGGAGGGGTACCATTCTCCAATTGCATTTAGGGACGAATCAGCCATCTGTGCTTGAGAGATGTCAAAGAATTTTCGGGGGGGGGGCACATGGTTTTCAGGGGGAGTGGGGTGATCATAAGCTCGTAATCCAACCTCATGGTTGGATTACGTGATATTTATCGCGACACTACCAAAATCCTCTGACCTCCCCCCCCTCTCTCCATAGATAATAAATGATTACCGGTCCTTTGGAGCGGAACCACACCCGAATATAAATAATTGTTTGATTTCCGCTCGCCGTGGGCTATTACATGTAGAGTTCTGTGCGCAAAAACAAATAAAGAGTTCTAAATCCGTGGTCTTCAAACTTTTACTCGTTAATTTCTTTCTCAGCGACTACAAGAGTATATTCGATCAATCCATGAGAAAAGGCCTTTTCAAGGAGAACATCAATTATCGGACCTCCCATGTAACCGACAAACGGACCCCTGATTTTCGCCTGCTCTCGCATAACTGACAATGAAAGATTGAAATTACAATAACCTGGTATCACTCTGTCGCCTATTAATTCAAATCTTCTCATTTTGAAGCCAACGTCCTTTACCCTTTGTTTGTACTCATCGATTCCATAGCACATGTTACTGTTTGGAATAATCCAAGCCTTTGCAGCTGCCTTTAGAACGAGCTGCTGTAGGTATCGTAAATCTTGAAGTGCCTTCAGAACAACGAGATCAGCCATCAATAATTTTCCTCCTGGCTTAAGAACTCGGAAGGCCTCTCGAAAAAAATCTTCTCTGCTATTCATGTGGGGCCCTCCTTCTACGCAAAGGACGTAGTCAAAGGAATTTTCGCCATAAGGCATCTTCGTTCCGCTCCCTCGCGTGACAGTGACTCCGGTGTCACGCAGTCTACGCGTTGCTATTTCCACATTTGCAACACTGATATCCAGACCTTGCGTATTGCAGCCGTACTGGGACTTGACCCGCAGCATGCCTGCTCCCTGCCCACAAGCAACATCTAGCACGTCATGGTGCGGCTGTATCCCGCTGCCCTCCAAAAGTTCATCATACATTGCTCTGTAGCATTTCGGCCGTGGTATGGGTTCACCAGACTTCGTTTTCCATAATCCAAATGTCAGAAATCCCTCATTCCAATCATGACTGTTATCTACAACGCGAGAGTAAAACTGTGAAACGTTCTCTTCATGTTCCGTAAATTCCATCTTGATTAGTACTCTTAAAAGGTGAGGACCTGTATAATAATAGAGAAAAAGACAGCGTTAGTGCAATTTTCGTGTGTCGAAAATAATCAAACTGCATTGGTTTTGTTTTTATTCGCACTGTAATTTGTCTAAAAAAAACTGGCGCCACTCTCAACCAATCAGATCGACGCTTGCTAAAACCAATCATCACTTGGTCGCCCACGTTTCCCGCGCTTTTAGCAGTTTGCTCGGTTGTACTTTGAGTTCTAATTGATTCTTAAGACGTCTGTTTTCCTTCCTTCTGATTGGTAGTTTTTAGTTTTACGACACTCAATCATAAAGCTCTCTAACCAGTAAGGTGCGTAATCACTTGAAATTTAGTATACAACTTTCATAAGGGTAAGAATTTATAAAGGAACAAATGCTTAAAAATTGCCTTCATCTTTAACTTATTGAAACGTCAGACAAACTACTAACGTTTAGTTGCTGAATATTACATGTGTGGAGCTGCGACGAAGCGTTTGTCATTAAAAAAGCTGAAAGGGGGTTTGGTTGATTTGAGACAGTAACGGCGCCTTGTAACCCATACGCGCAAAGCTTTATCATGATGTAAAGCTGTTTGGTTAAACACTTCTTGAAATTGTCAGTTTTCTCTATAGGAGCTCCTTAACCGATGTTTGTCGACATTCAAAATACAAGTTAGCGACTAATTGAATCCAATGGCGAATTCAGTTCTTCGATCTCATTTCTATTCAGTTAAACCCGGTTTAATTAAGCATATTTTGCTGGTGTGAATGGGATATAAGTGAGGTGTAAATGATTGAGACAACCAAATCTTATATGAAAACTACCTATGAAAGCAGGAAAACTATACACAGAACTTACTTTGGTTTACACACGACAAACGGCACTGTTTACTCAATTTGAGATTGACGTAGCTGAACACAACTTTTGTGGAATTGAAAGCCACTGCAAAGTGTTCATTCAAAAAGCACTAAATTGAATTTTCTAAGTCAAAAGCTCTAAATTTATACCTCTAAAACGTGTCCAACTTATCACGGAAGGTAGATACTTTGCACGTAATCGTGGCGCTCGAACAGGAAACCTTACCTTGTTAAATACGTCTTTCGACCTCGCGAATGAAAACCCTCGGGTATTTTAAGGGCCTACCGTAAAGCCGGCAGAACTTTCCGAGCAACATCTTTTTCCGTTCGCCGAGGGAAGATGAACTTGGCTATGTACGTGCGAATGGCGTTCCGGCTTAAGCCTCGGTTGTTTTTGTCATCGGCTCATATAATAATCCTTCTTCCAACTGCTCCTTTCAATTGGATGATTAACTTCTATTACTTGTGAGATAACTTTAACAATGAGGTTTTTCCTTTCGTGTGATGGATCTCATGACACAAAAGTGATCAAATTTTTGCAAGTACCTCTTGCATAAAACTACGTCATCGTCAATCAACTGAGAAGTAATTAGGAAATGTCCATGGTTACAAACTCAACCCCTTCAACGTCGTCACGCAATATAAATAATATTTAGTATTTTGCAATATGCACAAGAAACCACTCAAAACTATATTTTTCTTGAGATTGGAACATATTCCTTTGACAATTCGTATATTAACTCAAGTTTTTGAGTAGGAACGACCAACGAAAAATCGAAGCCTAAAGAATAAAGAGGACACAGTCCAGTGAGGAGAAAAGTAGAAGCTTTTATAGAAAAGTTTAAGTTATGCGCTTGAATGTCAGATTTCAATCATGATCCTATCCTGGCGGCGCTAACAAAGGTGACATGAATTGAAAATAAAGCTATGTAAAGTACTATAATATAGATTTGCTGAAGTTTACAGGAAGTCACACTACATACGCTGAATCATTCAATTTCCTTCTTCGTTTTACAAGTATTTTCATAAACTTGGTTTAAGCATGATCAGGACCCTCGGTATCACGGATGAATTGAAATACCAAACCTTAAACCTTAACAACGGTGTTTGGTGGTTCTTTGTGATAATACCTAAAAATAATCTTTCTGAAAATTATCTACACTATTGCATCATGTCCACTGTTACAAACTTCACAAGCTCATCTCGAATACAACATTCCATTCCCCTTCAGGAGTTTCAAAGTTTGAAACTCTTGAAAAAGTCAAGTGCCCCAATATGCAGAACGTTTTCCTAAACGTTTACTTCGATTTTTTGCACTGAGCCTAGCTGTCAAGTTCAGTAGTACGATGAATGACGTAAACACACTGATCTGTTGTAATAAATGAATTTAATAGCCCAATTAGGATTATCATGCCTGGAGTTATCAAGCCACATATACTCTTTACTATTCCTACTGACGCATAACTCACGCAATTCCAAAGAATATTCAAGTGACAGAAATGATAAAAAAGACCAAAATTTTTACCACATCAGTCTCAGCTGAGTCCAAAAAATACCTAGTTAAATATTGTTGGTTCCTCTTTCCATTCCTTTGAGAGCAGATAACTTAAAGTTGAAAAAAAATATATTCAAGTTACGTATTTGGCAAGCTTGGTGTTCGTAATTTATGGAAATTCCTGAAACACCACCACGACCAACATAAAGAATCCATTGTGTTGCTCCAGGAGTATTATGTAACAAAGTTCTATGTTTAAGTTTCAGCTATTTTTTAAAATTACATGTGATACCGTCGCCGACGAACGAAGCTTGAATCGTTTCAAAACATTGCGGAATTTTCCCGTGACCAATAAGCCTGAAACTGCTTCAAGCAGCTTTCAGCTACATAATAAGCAGCAGAATTTTTTTCTCGAAATTAGATAGAAATTTTGCGGCAATGTTTCACCAATGTAATTGTTAGAAAGCGAGGAACTGTTACAACATTTTTTTAAACCCTTATTACAAAAAAACAACAGCGAAACTTAAAACGAATAAACCGTCCTGAGAAAGCTTTGTGTCACATTAACGCTTCCAAAACAGTTGACAAAGGTACAGATTTCAAACTCCCTCTCTTTACGTGGCACAACGATATTGTGCAATGATTTACAACGTGAACAGCTATTTTGAATTGTATATAATCGTTCGCTTTAACATGCAATTTGAATTTTTCCAAGCTAAGTGAAAAGACTCATCTTTGACAATAATCACCTGTTATATTTATATATTGCCGCGTATGTCCGATTAGGAGTCAATCAAATTAGAGCGCCATCAGATAAAATAATAATAATCTTAAAAAACAGAAGGATTAAGAAAGTCTCCCTTGGAAATTCTTATTATAACCAACCTTACTGTTGAAGGAAATAGACGAGTTTCTCAGCTAAGAATTTTAGGATTCCACAGGGCAGTTAAAACGTAATCGATCTTTGCTAACGCACGGCGAGTTACGCTTCCTTTTGGAGTAGTGCCGAGACTGACCTCTGTTTGAAAACGAGGGTAAGTGCATATTACGTCTTTGATATGAAAACGATATTTTTTTTATTCTCATGCTAATAAAACTAATATACACAAGAAAAATTTCGCACGCAACCTATTTTGGGAGCATTTGGAGAGTGATCAGAACGCGGGAAAGCCCACTGGTTTTTAACAATCATTGGGGTTTCACGTGTAATCACGGTCGACAAGATCAAAGTTCATGTTATAAAAATATAAGATTTGTTAGTATGGACATAACCATGGAATCTCTTTCTAAAGAAAGGTATTTTGTTTTTGTTTCTGTTTAAGCAAACATGACCATGGTTACTTCTTTAAAGAGCAACAATTACACCTAATTTTGTTTTAACAACTGTGTTGATAATTTAAATTAGCCATCATCAAGAATTTTTGAAGCTGACGTTTCGAGCGTTCGCCCTTCGTCTGAAACGGTAATAGTATTTCGTAAAGGCTGAACCCTCTGCCGGATCTTCCTAATAAATAACGTAAGTGTGACCTCAACCTATAATTTCACAAAATTTTAAGCTGCTTTCAATAAGTTAAAAGATTCATTTGACTTTTTATTTGAGTGAAGGCGGTGGGACCATGGCCAGGTGACAAGGGAGCAGACCCAGACCTTTCCCCCAGGCCCCAGGTTGAAGCCCTCCAGCCAGTTAGGGTTCAGTTAAACGCTCTATATTCATGTTGAACGATAACGTTTATTTTCAATTTGTTTGCATGAATTTGAGGCCCACAAATTTTTCATTTTTGTAACTGTTTAGTGCAACCATCTGTTAAGAAATTCTTTACTATTATAAAAGTGGTACTCTTTTGATTTAGGGGTTGTTTAGTACACTTGTTTACACAATTGGGCGCGATATCGCAGTTTGATTTAAATTTTTAAAAAAACCGAAAAAGCGTAATTAATGCTTTATATATGCACTAATAATTTACCTCTATTGTCATCATGGAAATATATTTTTTGGGCAAACACATATCAACCAAATTTAAATCCAAAGGAGAAAATCATTAGACTAATATAATTTGCAGACATTAACGACTTCCTATTCTTAAAAAGCTATCAATTATTCTTTATGACCAAACACTGAGATATTAAAGAGCAGAGCTTTGCGACTTTAATGCATTTTTTCAACGAGGTTCCCCGGGTCCTCTCTCTTCGAAGGAGGAAGAGATAAGACCCTGGGAATGAAGTTGAAATTTTTTATTCGCCAGAGATTTCCGCGACAACTAGGCACGATATTCAGCGGAGATTCAGGCAAATTAAATTAAAACAAACTATAACAGCATTTCTCAATATATACCTTTCTAGAATTTTTCGTCCCTGACGCCAAGTCTTGTTATATCTAATACCGTTGTATCCCATTCATTGGGTTTTATTCCGACTGTAGGTAAGTTCCCACCCCAGTTCATTAGCAGGCTACATCCACTTCCCCACGCCACAAAATTACATCGGCGGCCGATGTAATTTCTGAGGCTTATTTTACTGCGATAACCGGAGATCGCCATGATGAGCTCGCCGCGATAGACCTCAGCATGATCGCAGTCGCTCTGACACCGTCATGATTAATATGAACTTTAACAGTTATACCAGTTTGGCTGTATTTTTAAATTACTGATTTGTTCTATTTTGTTTTTGAACGAGAAACCTAATATCAGTATACGAGTGTTAGCTGTGTTCGCCTAATCTAACTAAGCGTGAAAATCTTCAAAATTCGGACTGTCCATTTCGTTTACTCTTTGAGGATTTTTGTCTCTGCTTACGTTATAATAACGTTACGTTATTACAAAGTTGTTTCATCTTCATTCAATTTCACACTCGATTTCGGATTGGGAGTCAAATATTTGAATGTTTTTTAGGAAAATACTTAGCCACACTTATTTGAGGAAATCTCCATAAAAACTTCATGAAAATGTGAGTAACGCAGTTGTGTTAAGCAAATGTAACAAAAGTTTGTCACGCATCACAAGGAAACTTGTCAGCGGTTGATCACACAAACGTGTATGATAAAATGTGGTGAAATCGAAAAGCTATCCTGCACGTGTTGCAAATTTTTATCACTATTTCTGTTTCGCAGCTTCAATTTTACCTTGTTACAAAACCTGAGCAGGTTAATTTGAGTTGAGGTTTATTCAAGACAAATTCTTAACGGTAAAGTATCAAAAAATACCCTAAAAATGGCAGAAAACGACGCCGTAAATGGCAACAAGGAAGCACCTACGGACCTCGAAAAGAAGATCATCAAGCAAGTGGAGGTAACGCTGCTATTTTTATCTACAGTCAGAGCTTATGATTAATACATGAGTCTAGTTCTTGATATAATGTCAAACTGGAACTTTACTACGAATCTTTATGCTGAGTAAATACTTTTTTACCAATGTACTTTAGGCATCGTTAATCATTCAGCAGGAGAACGTTCGACTTATAGGTAACTTAAATCCGTATGGTCAAGCTGGTCAATAAGCGAACTGTACTCTCTGCTCAGTTTGTAGAATGTACAGTACTGAAATGGTTAAAATAAAAAACTGAGTTTTGTGCCCCTACTGAAGACTTTGATATTTTTTTGTATTGCACTTACGCTCGGTTTTGTCATTATGATCTCGAGGTCCCGAGACAGTCGTTACGTTATGTAGTGCAATTTAATATACAAGGAAGCAAGCTCTGTCACAGTGGTTCATATCGTACTGCATTTCCTTAAAATCTCCCTTTTTAACCCTTTTTTGTGAGAACTGATCTTTAATTTCAAATTTTCTCTTTGCAGTTTTACTTTGGAGATAAAAATCTTCCCAAGGATAGGTTTCTGAGACAAAAAGCTGAAGAAGATGATGGATGTATCCTGAAATTTGAGAGCTGTCAAATGCTTAAATCGGATTGACCTTGTAGCTTAAGAATGCTCAATGTTAAACTCTTAGACCACTGATAACTCTTCAATGTCCACGATTATTAATCAGTGTTGGTACAAACATTTACAGGGTTAAAATCCCACTACCAAATAGCAATTTACAATTTAGTAACAATTCATCGAGTTGTGAAGCTCCCGGGAAGTTTAAAGCATATCAAGACATAGCAAAGAGTATTCTTTTTCACATAGTGAAGAGCAGCAAGGGTTTGTTGAGTGTCCCTCTCACTTCTCAAGTGTTTCATATGAAGGCATTTCTTCTGAAGAAATATTCCATTTTTAGTACTTCACTCCAAAACCCTCATGATCAGGATGCATAATGGGACTGTAAAGAATGCTTATACAGTTTAATTTTTTTTAAAATAAAGGTTATTATTTGGCAGTAGCACAATTGTATATGATTACCACTTGCAGAACGAACTGTTAAACTCTCACATGCAATTTGGAACATTTGACCCTTCCTTGCAAAATCTTTACAATATATAGCAAACAGATCATAAGTGGGGATGAGCATTTAGGTGAGGTTGTGTCCCTGGGATCTAATGCCAAACTCTCTAAACTGCTTTACAAGGAAATATACAGCAGTTATTAGGGAGAAATGAGGATTAGATCAAGAAAGTTAAAAGGTCAGGGAAGTTTTTCCTTTCTTTATTATCACCCTGGTCAAAGTATTAAAAAAAGCAACATCTAATACCCCTAGGACTTCACAATAAAGTTATGTTTATTGATTTATTTCTTGACAAAAGCCTAGGGATAACATTGGAGTGTCTTGCAACATTTAACAGACTCAAGGTAAAAATTTGATATTAAAAATTTAAGATGTGCTCAATTTATTTATTTTTATACAAGTTGCTCCATAAACAGCCTTTGACTTTATCTTCAGGCATTATCAGCAGATACAGATGTGATTGCAAACGCTTTGAGAAAATCAGATGCAGGACTTGTCGAGGTACAAACACTTGATGTGTCAATCTTCTTATTTCTTGGTCAGCCACTCATGGCAAATAGTCAACATCCCTTTTTTCTTTAAAAAACAAGCTCAAATGTTACCAATTACCAGTTTTGCTATGATGAACGGCTAATGCTTGAAATCAATGGCAGAACTTTCTAAGGTGGCCCATTTACATTAACAACTCAGTTAAAAAAATCAAATTATCATTTAACACCTCCACCAATGCAGCACCACAGTTTCTTTAGTAACTGCCTCCTTGTATTCAAAAGTTACCATCTTTCTTACTGCACATGGGACACTTTTGACTTTCCTAATCCCAGCAGTTTGAAGGATGAACCTGCCATAGCATCTCTAGAAATTTTTTTCAATATATTGAAATTCAAACTGGGCTCTGAGGCTTGGGGGAATAAAACAAAAGAGATCACTTTGAGGTCAAGGAATGATTAATTAATTTCTTTTGTTTTATTCCCCCTTGCCTCAGAGCCATGTTAGAATTTTTAACCCTTTAACTCCTACCAGTGGATCAATATGCAACTTCTCCCAATAATATCCATACATTATCCAGCAAACAGGTGATGAGAATGCTCAAACTTATCAGGTAGAAGTTGTCATCTTGATCTAACACCAAATTCTTGTTACTAATTTACAAGGAAACATGTAGCAGCTAGAGGGGAGAATTAACAATCAGATCTTGGGAGCAAAAGGGCTAATGTAATGAAAATGGCCCAGTCCTCGAGCCCTTATTTTCTTGAAGTACCTGATAAACTAATGAAGATAGAACTGAAGTTTTTTCCCTCTGTTTTCATTGTTATAGATCACTGAAGATAATAAAAAATAAGACGAGTCTCGTCCAAACCTCTCCCAGAGAACACTGTTGAAGCAAGACAAACTGCAAAGAGCAAAACAGTCTATTGTGTATGTCTAATTGTTAATTCATATCAATAGAAATACATTGCATCTACTCAAACTGGAGCGACACATACATTGTAAACTAATGATGAGGCACAAGTGCAACAAACAATTCCAACATTGCGGCAAATCAAATGTCTGGAACTCAGTAATTAACTCCTGATTTTTTTCATGGACCCATGATGTTTACATGTAGCAAAATTGTTGGTCAAATGTCAAACTCTTACGGTAGTTCTTTTTATTTTTTTTATTGTATGCTCACAAACTTTTAATTAGTAACTGGAATTGAAAAAAATGGTATGCTGCTGTCATATAAATTTTCTGGGTTATTGGCTGATTTTGGAAGTTTTTACGAAGCTTTTTAGCAAGCTTGCATTGAACAAGTTGTCATTAAGGAAATATCAAATCCAGGAAAGTTTTTTCCCCCATATGGATGTACAGCTCACTTTAATACTGACACCACTGTGATCTCCACACAGAAAGGGTTCCCCAAAGATTCCAGTCTTGATCAACTGGAGGAATTCTTTGCTAGTTATGGAAAGGTAAGAAGCTGGGACTTGTACTAATTTTTATGCATTTGTGTCAAGAATTTTTCAGGGAAAACATACAGCTTTTTAAGTGCCACGCCAGGAAACTATTAAATTTTTTAAGGCACCGTTTTCAACAGCTTTTTGTGTTGATTGATTGAGGTTGTAATGCCACCAGTTGCTCTATTTTTTTAACCTTCCAACATTTTGATATCATCTATGATCTATTGGTGAACAGATGCAAAATAATATGGCATGTATTTGTCAAATATAACATGAAGTGGTGAACAATTTGATAATCTACAGCATCCTTGGAAATTTGTTTTAAAAAAAGCGAAAAACTGGAGCCTATAATAAGTTTCTGTGTAAAAAATTATTTACCATAATTTTTGCCAATGAGTTGTTATGAAATAATCGCCGTCCTCGGTTAAACGCCCCGGCGTTTAATCAAGTTACTATTGCGTTTGACGCAACGGTAAGTGGAAACAAAATTGTTACTTTTTGAAAACCCAGGGGATTGATATCTAGCTCTTTAAATACATGTACAACTGTTCGTGTGTTTCAATTTTTTTTTTTCAATATTTTCGTCAGGTTATTTACATCATCATGCGAAAAGATTTGGAACGTGCGTTCAAAGGATCTGTGTTTGTAGAATTTTCGACTGTTGATGAAGCAAAAGCCTTCACGTCTCTGGAGTCAGTGAAGTACAATGACGAGGAACTGATCAAAATGATGAAGTAAGTAGCTAGAGCTATGCAGGATCTCACAATGAAGAAAATCCAAGAAAATCGTGTTTGAATGGAGTTTTTGAATCATTTATCATGATGGCAATTGAATTGAATGAGTGCGAGGAATTTTTTTTTTCTGTGATTTCTTTTGCAGTGGGTCAATGAAAACGACCTTGTAATATCTTTAAAATAATTTTTTTTGTTTTTGATTTTGATTTTGTGTTTTTGTTTTGTTTCTTAGCTTGTATGTTTGTTGGAATGTATTTTAACACCAGCAAAGCAGGCATAGCAAAGAAAAATGTTCTTTAGAGTTTTGTTAAGTTTTGTTTGGCTGTCTCGTTATTTGTGGGCTTTTATTATTATTTTTTTCTGAGAATGGAATTATGATGACATCTAAAATCATTATCCCAGAGTGGCTTTTACACAGAAGGATAGCCTTGCAATCGGCAGTCTCGGCTCGAAAATCGATCCTCAACTCTCGGAGCTTTCAAGGTTCATGGATTAAGATGTCATTCTGGAACCCTGGGCCCAGTTGTTCAAAAGCTGATTAGCGCTAACCAAAGGTTAAAATTTTAATCTGGGTTTCTTTATTCCTTTACTCAAAAAGCCTCTTTGGGTTAATGTCCTGTGCTCTTTTTAGAGCATCAAAGAGTCATGTTCTAGACAAAAAGAATTCGACAGAATTTTCTTTTAAAGCTATCAGATCTGAAATCAGATTTCACCCTAACCCTGGGTTATCTTAACCCAGCTTTGAACAACCCGGCCCGGATTAATAGTGATTTACAAAGCATTTGAAAATGGGCTCCATTTTTTTAACAATTTACGCTTAAGGTACGCCTTATCGTTATTTTAACGTGAAGTATTTCTGCAATAGGGGTGATTACTACAAGAAGAAAGAAAGAGAAAATCCTCACAAGAAAGAGGAGAACAAGAGAAAGGCCGAGTAAGTGTGTTCATGTATAATATGTTTTTGTTATAGAAAATTATGAGTTGTTCATCGTGGTATTTGTTCTGGGATAAATGAACTTTTCATCGTTTGCAGAGTCAGGCTATCTATTGAACTGATCTTCATTGATTCTCTAATGGAGAAATTTGACGAAATTATCCAGTTCCTTCATTTTCTCTTTCTATTTTCCAAGAAAAAATGACGATGCAAAAGAAACGAAAGAAGAAAGCAAAGAAGATGCAGAGGAAAAAGAGGTATAAGATAGAATACTCATTAAATCTTTAAATTTCATTCGTTATCAACGTCTGGCTTCTCCTTATAAGAGCAATACATCATCTTACAAACAGGTGATGAGAAAGTAACCATCTATCAGCACGAGGATTTTGTCTAGATGGAACACCAAATTCTCTAAACTAGTTAATTAAGAACGTATAGTAACTACAACGGAGAATTGATAACTAGATCGGGGAATTTAAGGCCCGTCAAATTTGTTTGTGTATGACTTTTTACGTGATCAGCAAACGCTTTTTTGAAAATAGTGGCTTGTTTCTCTTCGACTGAAAATCGCTAGAGAGGTTTCTCGATATTTTCTCCAATTAAAGCCCTTAGTTACTTTTTAATTATAGCTATTAGAACTTTCTCTTTTTAAAAATTAATTTCCAAAGACTGCATACCAACGGAATACCTTTATTTTGGATCAAGAAAGATGGTAAATTTTAAGATCGCTCCTGGAATGAAAACTTGTGACGAATCTATTCACTTGTCACTAGCGTAGGACAACAACTAAAGCTTAGTTCCCGCGCTTTCGATTCACGCGATGCGATACCTCAGAAATCCCTGAAAACTAGATTATGGTACCGTATTGCCAGCGTAAAAGGTCCTCTTAGTGCGATGGTAGAACATTCGACCGCAAAAGCCGAAAGTCTGCGCTTCTAATCCTCCTGGGGACTAGGACGCGGTTTTTCCCTTTTTCTGTCCCTCTTTGTTACGAATTGATTATATCTTTCCTTAGATGGATAATGTCAGAAACAAACGTTGCAAACGTTTCGGCAAGTGCTCTGAGCTAGGTTGATATCTTTTTTTGTTTCTTCATCGTCATATGACAATGCAGCTCCGTGGCTCAGTAGTAGAGCATCGGAGCGTGGAATCCGAAGGTCTGAGGTTGGATTCCTCGCTCGCGACAAGATGAAAAACATCTTTCTCTATTTCTTTGCAGAGTTTAAAACTTACCATCTTCTTATTCTATTTACAGCTCGTTTATTTTTAAAATTTGTCATATTTTTAGGAGGCCTTGAAGTATGACAGTGGCTGTGTGCTACATTTCAAAAATGTAGGCGAACAGACATCTCGTGAAGATCTGAAGGTAGAGTGGTTTTGAAATTAATTTATTCGTGATTATCGTTGTTATCATTATTGTTATTATGATGATTATTATTTTACAGTTGAGGTCAGAAATCACGTAGAGATTTATTGAAAACCATCGTTAAAGGTACATGTACCTCCCACCCTCCCCTCCCTGTCTGTGTGAATTTAGCGGTGAGGAACTATTTCCTAGTAACTTGTCAATGTGCTCTGTCCTACCCCTCCCCGCTTCTCTTTACAATGCCAAGGATAATGATTCAAACTGAGGTGACATGATGCGAGGTTTAGGGCCGAACGAGGCAAGTGAATTCCTGAAGATCTTTTTTTCTTTTCTTTTGATTAAAGCTGAATACCCAATGTCGAGAAATGAAAAACCGCACTATAAAATCGATGGTTTGTAGGGTGAAAACCGAAAAATGCACAGATTCCCTTAGATACATGTTGATCTTAAACTTTACGGGAAAAAATCATGTAGTTTCTTCTTCTTTCTTCAAGTTCATGTGTCCTCGTTTCCTCGTTTCAAACTAACCCTCAAAAGTGGAAACGTGGCATCGAGACAACGAAGGCTAATTAACACGCAAGCCATGAAAACAGAGGAGATGAAAAAATTCTGCCATTCTTGAATAAGGTCTATAGAAATGTGTTAAAATCACAAGCTCAGCGCAGTTCTTGTTGCATTACAGAGTCTGTTCGGTGAGCATGAAGATATCGCTTGGGTGGACTTCACCAGAGGAGAAACAGAGGTTTGTGCAATTAGAATATCCTTCTGTGCAAAGGTTTCTTGCCTCCAAGACTCGTTGTTGTGGAGAGCCTGGTTCAGAACAGTGTGATAAGAAAAGAACACAAAGATACACACGTTGTAGACAAAACATCACCCCATACTTTTCTCTTACTTTTTATTGGCCGACAGCACGACACGTGATCTGCGATGTATTGCCCAAAAATAATCGAATATTGTGCTCATGCGTAGTAGGATCATCGCCTATTGTCACAAATGATCAAATGGCCCCAAAATTGTCTGAGAGTGATTCCTGAAAATAACCATGAGTAATAAACCTTCTGATCTGAATCTACGTTTAATTTGCTCAATCGAAGAAGTTGTCAAATTTGAGCTAACCATAAACGGCCGATAAGTCTGCTCAGGCTAAAATTTCACGTATGACTTTGAGTCTGTCAAGAGGAAATTCGCGCAAAGCTTGGAGTATTTTTAACCGAATTATGTTGACAGTGCAGTTCTCTGTTGCAGGGTTTCATTCGTTTCTCTAAAGAGGGAGGAGCCCAGCGAGCCATTGACGCTCTAAAGGAAGCAAACGACGGTAAAATACTCATCAGGGATGTGGAAACAACTCTTCGGGTCCTAGAAGGTGTGATTCTGTTTATTTGATCGAAAGCTGGGGCTCAAACTCTCGACCTTTCGCACAGATATGGAGCTCTACAAGAAGATCCAACCGAAAGGCGCTTAAAATGCTCCTTAACCCTCTCTATCCTTTTCTCTCATACCCTAAATTTGTAGATGAACTCCTTACTCAAGTACATCTTTGTATTTATTTTCTTTTAAAGGTGAGGAGGAAAAGAATTATTGGTTAAAAACAAAAGAAGACAGAGAAAAAGCCAAGCAAAAGAAAGGTAACCTTTGACATGCGCGCGTCTTGTTGTTAATGTTCTCGAAAATAAAGATACAACTATTCTGTGCCTCGGAGACAATACCTTTTTATTCTCTGTGTCCTTTAAAAGACGCGGATTCTTTCCTTTGGCTTGTCATTTCTTCTACAGAGAAATTAGCCCTGTAATTCCTCAGGAGTGACTGGCATTTGTTTCCTTCTTACAATATCACCCCTGAATCAAACATAAAAGCAATGGTCTTCAACTCTAGGAGCACTTGACTGTTAAACAAATTCTCCATGTCACCATCATAGAGAATTTGTAGAGAGCAGTAACGAGAATAAACCCACTTATGTTGAGGTGTAAGGGGTCAACCCTTTATTCTTAAGGAGTAAGGAATAAAGGGTTGATAAGTAATTCCTTTCATTTCTCTCTACATTATCAGTATTGAACAAACATGGAGGTTATGACAATACAGGCAATGACCACACATTCGAGTAGCTCTTGATTAAACAAGTTCTCCTTGTCAAGTTCTCATTCTCCAAGTCAAGGGAATGTATTGAGGACACTATCGAGAATATACACACTGATCTTGAGGTGTAAAGGGTTTAAGGGTTTCTCAAAGTAGATACTTTTGTATTTGTTACTGGGGACTGTAATTTTCTTTTTTTTTTTTAGGAAGGAAATTTAAAGGAGGACAAGGCGGTCGAGGTGGTCGGCCTCAAAGAAAAAGACGAACTTCCGACAGGCTGGAAGGAAAACGAAACGATGGAAGCGACGAAAAATCGACAGCGACTCACACGAGATTTGATGAAGGGGAACCTTCTGCTAAGAAAACGAAGACAGACGATGATTGATCTCAAGGGACTCGTCGTATGCACTGCGCATGCACAACCGGCTTAAGTTTTTATTGCTCTAGTTTTGGTGCATTTTTTACATCTCAAGAACAAGATGTTTTAGTTTTAAACTAACTTATTATACTAGCTCTTTCTTAGAGCCGTTATCCTATAGGTCGATCACTAAGGAACGGGAGGCGCTGTTTCAAAGCTTTCTTTTTCAGTTCGCGTAGAAACCAAACCCCATTTTTAGTTTTTGTTAGTTTGATTATTTTATTATCTAACCAATCATGTACTTAGAGAAATTGCTTTCTTTCCAAGCCTTTGTAACTGTGGCGCTGGCCAGAGACTGGGAACTAGACCAGTAGTAAAATTGGGGTCCTCCTAAATGGAGTAGAAGGAGGTTCCCTTTGTATAGGAGAATACTTTCTACGGAAGGGTTGAAAAGCAGTGAAGTTGTATCGGTGAAGCAGGGGGAAAACAAAGGATTTTCTTGAAATTTGTTCACCTTCTCTTTCACTTGATTAGAAATGATTTCTAACTTGTTCAGTTTCACGTTGATGATAATAGAGTGCTTTTTGATTGAGTGTCGTGAAACAAAACCAAAATTTCGTAGAAAAGGTTGTGGATACAGAGAATATATTTAAGAGCCAATGAGAACTCAAAGTTAAAAAAACCAAACTATCTATAGGGCGGGAAAACGCAGGCGATCAAGTGATGATTGGTTTCAGTTTTGCATCGGATTGGTTGAGCGAGTGGTGGAGGTTTTCTGGACCAATCACAGAACATTGTTATCAAGTAAAACCAAAACAATCCCGGGTTGCTTTCGACACTCGACTGAAAACTGCGGTATTAGTAGCACTAGGGAATTTAAGAAAACTACGACGTCAACGATAGCGTCACCAAACGAAAGGTTTACTGAGCAGAACAATGGCTCTGCACGTGCGTTATAAATCTTTGTAAATTACTTTGCGTCCACTGCCAACAATAACGTGAAATGACCAAGCTTTGCGGCTTTTTTCGGAGAACGTGAACGACGACAGCTAATTTTTTAAACTTCTATCGCTGTGTTCCATGTTCAGTTTCGAGATAATTTTGACAGTGAGAAACAAACTAAATGAATTTAGAGTATCCCGAGATTCGTAAACAAAACTTAAGTTTGTTTTTAACCCCGTACACCCTAACATCAGTATGTATATTCTCCATACTGTTCCTAATGTGCTGGCAAGAAGAATTTGTTTAGTTGTTTTGTTTTAGTTTTTTTTTTTTGTTTGAGTTGTCCACGGCGTCGCCGTCGTAGTTTCTTAAAATCCCTATTTTCTTAGAAATCACGGTTGCCGTATTATTTAACCGATGCCCACTCGAAAAAGCGAAGCCGGAGACTCAGGAAATGGTGTTGAGTGTACTGATCACTTTTGACTGAAAGAAATCTTATTCCACCACAGTTTTGACTTTTTTTATATTTTACTTTTATTTAATCATTCCTTACTTTGTTTTTTCTACTTAGTAATGTCTTGAAATAACGAAAAAGGCATCAATAATTATTTTGGACTGAAACTTAGAAAAATTAGTCTTAGTAAGTTAGTTAATCGTTTTTCATGTCGTGGCTAGCCTCCCATGGATGTAATAAACGAATTTGACCTAATTATCACTGTACATCGATCATGTCATTGATATGAAAATACGGCCTTTTTTTTTTAGCATAATGCAATCTTCACCAACGAAGGGAAGGCTTGCCCAGTGTCCGAGATGTAGCGCAACTTCTCAATTATTTCACACGGCGCGTTGGCTCTCCGACGGATGAATTATTTTTCATTCCTTGTTTAATGATATCGCAAAAATTGGTATCATGTCAATATGAACCCATCTTTCTAATCTACTATTTTATTCTCCTGACCTGCTTACCAGGTAATGTATTGAAATCGCAAGGAGAGGTTACGTCTTGATCAATTCTCTAAGTCAAATGGCTTAACTACGCGTCACCCGATCTAGGCACGGTTTTCATTGGCCTTTCATTTAATAAATTCTATTTTTGGACAAGAAGTAATTTAATAAATTCTATTTTTGGACAAGAAGTAATGAAACGACCTGAAATACAGATACGATAATTTTCAAGGGGTTTGCCCAAATAAAGTTTTAGTCGAGGGTCTTAACTCTTTAACTCCCAAGATTTCATGAGTAAATCTCCTTACTGTCTGCCATACAATTTATGTATGATAATTGATCCGACACCAAATTCTCTAAACTAACATAATGAGAATCGTTTGGCAGACAGTAAGGAGAATTACTAATGAGATATTAGGAGTCTAAGGGTTTAACCCTCTTATTCGCAATCGTTAGCCGAACGCTTTTAAATATATTGCTGAAAGTGAGAGACCTCTCCCAAAGCCTGGCAGTTTTTTTGAGGCTTCCTCTCCTAATAATTATGATGCTGTAAATCTTTTTATCGTTTATGTTAAAAAAAATGGCAAATAAATGGATTATGATGATACCTCAAGTCGAGATGAAAACATTTTGTTTCTTGAAAGGCTTTTCCATGCAGGAGTGGAATAGTTTATCATTGGAGAGCATTTTGTCTTTGTCCGATCGATGTTTGCCTAGTTCTCGTCATACGTATTTCATCAGGACTCACGCGATGTTTACTTGAAACAATGCGACGCGAACGAAAGTAGCAGCAGCAACAACAACAGGCAAATTTGACGCTGTTTTTCCTAAACTCTGGGCAAAACAATGCATACACTGCGGTATTTACCCAGGAGCTTGATGCAGGAGCTATAAATGTCAGCCAAATCCGCGAGAGTAGCTTTAGGTCTGGCTGTAATCCCTCTAGAACACGACATTCATCCAAAAAGTTGAACAAAATACTTGGTCCCCAGCAAAGAACAAATCCAAGAACAGCGAAAACCAACAAACGTATCGATTTTGATTTGTGTTTTGCCACAGCGCTATGAATGGCTCCATTTTTGCTTCTTTTCCACAAGCGAACTGCAACTCTTGTATATGCAACTATCATGTAGATGAGAGGAATAAAAAACGCCACAATAGTGTACACTGTTTGCGATAGCAGAATTTGCCAAGTGCCCGTCGGTCTGTCGCATAAAACATATTCCTCGCACTTCTGAGTTCTGTTGACTTCCTGACAGAATTCGATGGGGCGGACAGTTACACTTGGAGCAAACGAAATTGAAGATGACACAGCGTATACCCAAATAGCTGTAACCATCAGTACGTACGACTTCAGAGGCGTGGAAATCAGACTTTTAAAAGGCTGTAGGATGTTTTTTTGTCTTTCCCAAGCAATGGCGACCAAGGTGCCGAAAATAGCTGCCGGGCACGCGTGTTCAATGAAGATGGAAACTTTGCACATTACCGGATCCCTTCTAGAAAAACGTCGAGTGAAATTCATAGCGAACAAAAGATGAAACAAAAAATGAGTCAAAGATAAATGAAAGATTAAAAAACTGGAAAAGTTTTTCCGCAATTGTCCACTTCGTAACATAACGTAAATCACGAAAATATCAAGGATAGTCCCAAAACTAAAGAGACAGTAAAACACCATAAGAGAACTAAACCAGAACGTAGACAAGTCTAGATATTCGCCTACAGCAGATGTGAAATTTTGATTGTTCGGGATGGAGGTTGCAAATTCTAGCGTGTCATTCATTTTAGCCAAGTTGTTTCGCAGTTGGCGATAAAATATTATATGAGCTTTAAGTGTAAACCACTCCACTTTTAAATAATAATTAATTAAAAAGCTAAGTTCCTTTCTTGTTTAATCTTTTAAACCAATAGCAATGTCCCTGTTCGCGAACAAATCTTTTAGGTTTATTGATAACAGCCTCCGACAGTGCACGTGACTAATACAAAAGCGCCATCCGTCTTTTGTAGTGGTTATTACTTAGCGAGGAGTTTTTATCTTCAAGTTTGTTGTGATAAAGGAGGAATGAATGAAAGTAATTAAGCTCAGCCTCGGTTTAATTGCCAAATATTGTCACCAACTGTTTTAATTTCATGATAAATCCACATAAGCAATTTGATTACGAGTTAAGAGGAATTTTGTTCTATCATGGCAAGCTGGTACGCGGTGTTTTGTTTAGGTTAAAATCCTGGGAACTGCGTCTTCTACGTTTAATTTGAACTCAGACCAAAAAAATAAGCCAGAGAAATTCTTGAAACGTTTTTATAAAAATCATTACTTTCACTAACCGTTGATTGAGGAGATTTTTGTTTACTTTTTAGCGGTAAAACGTTCAGATCATTTCTTTTTTCAGCTGTTTCGCAGACTTAAAAAACAAATATTATTAGGTAAAATAACAAATTTCGAAAAGATGAACCCTTGTCTTCGGTGCCACAAAGAAATTGGCTCCTCGCATCATAAGATGTTCAATCTACATAGAATTAACTGCTAACTTCAGGGTAAGAGAAACTCATTTATCATTTAGTTTTATCTGTGAATTTGATAATAATACGAATTTATCTTAAACTGAAATGACGAAGGCCTTTTATGTGCGTGTTCTTAGCCCCAGTTCGAAAAAATTTTTTCCCTTACAAGGTTTTCAATATTTACGGATCAAAGATAAAGCTTACCGGATGAAGTTAGGAGAAGAGCGATAAATACTGTCGGTAGCGCTTTGCGCCATTGTGCACTACTAATTTGTGCGTAATTAATTTGTGCCTTATTAAGTTATTTGTTGTCTCAGTTTTGGGCCTGTGTCTTTGGACCAAAACTTTCTGGATCGTTTATTGACCAAGATAAAGTTATTCTTATATGAAAAAAAAATAAATAAATAAAGGAAATTACCCGTCGTTCGATTCCTTCACAAATAAATGCGGTGAAATCAGAACGAAGGGCGTCTCGAAATTTTGGATCATTTTGGAAATGTAATTAATTGGCCAAAATCAGCATAAACCTTCACACTAAAATTGAGAAATTTTCAAGTAAGTTTCAAAAGTAATCCGGGAGTGCATTGGTTTTGCTTCACTTTGCTCTGTGGTTGGTCCAAGAAACTCGCACTACCCTCTCAACCCAGGCGGTGTGAGCACTCTGATTGCGTTGCATTGTGGTAGCTTCATTTTCAACATGGCGGTGAAAGCAGCAGAATTCGGCAGATTTTGACTGAACATTCCGTAAAAGTTAGGCCGTTCCTTTTTCCTTTCACCATAGGTAAATGTAATTTGATTTATTCTGAATGTGTAAAAGTATTTTATGTTCGTATTTTATGTTCGTATTTGTCGCGTATTCTATGGTTCTCAAGGACAAACGCGATCACTGTTTTTTGTATGTAATTTGAGACCGGATTTCAAGAAGGTCAAATTTGATGTACGTCGCAGTTTGGAGCCTTTCAAAGATTTGGATAACTTCTCTGATCCTTCTTTAACAGCTCTGACCAAACGCTCTCCAACGGTACATGTGTTTCTTGGTGTATTAGAAGGTCGTTGCCTCTATGGACTGCGTTTGCATGTCAAGGGACGATTCCCCGTTGAATAACTCGCGAATTTGATATAATTCACACAGCCATCGGCTGTGTGTAAAACTGCTCAAATGAATAGATTCTGGGGCAAGACTGCAGTTTCGATTCTTTCTGAATCTCTTCAATTGCCTCCTAATAACGAATTTGTCACGGAGGAATAACAGGAGTCGCACAGACCCGCAAACACTTTTTAACTTTCGAAGGAACGGCAACAGACAGTGAATTTCCACGTTTATTCACGCTATCTTGCTGCGACCAGAGATGTTCACTCGACCACGACAGGATGCAAATGACTTATTTTTCGTTTTACGACCATGATGCAACGCAATCAGAGTGCGCACACCGCCTGCTCTCAACCAATCAGATACACAGCCTAAACCAATTACCACTTGGTAGCCCGCGTTTACCCGCGCTTTAGGTAGTTTACCTGCTTTTACTTTGAGCTCTGATTGGCTCTTGAGTGTATTTTCCTTTCTCCTGTGGTTTTGGTTTTACAACGCTCAACCGAAAAGTGCTCTAAAGCAAAACTAAAGTACTCCTGAACTCTCCACAGTAAAAATCTCTCTAGGAATAGAGAAAATAGAGAAGAAAAAGAGAGGAAATTAATTTGGAAAGAAAATTAACTACGAAAACGAAATAAAATTAATTAAGACAAATCTACCTGGGCGGTAGTCGTATTTCTTTGTCACACAGCAAGTTCGGTTTTAATTTCTTGCATTTGCGTTTAATGAGCACGTTTTTACTTCCTTTGTAGCAGCTAAATAAACAACTGTACCAGACTTTTAATTTACTAAAACCAACAACTAAAAGCTAGATATCTCGTGCATTTAAACATCTGTCAACAATGGACTTTAATAACTGTCTCGCCGAAGGAACTTGTATGACAGAGAGTTCCTTATTTTTTTTTTTTCTTTAAGGACGAAAAAAAAAATCCCAAGTTCATCTTACAACGGTTCATTATATTATCGAGAACAGTAATCGTGTTTGATTTTTCTAAGCCACAACAAAAACCACCTAATGGCAAATACGCAACTGACGAAGCCAGTTAATCAATAAAGTTATTAAAACACCTCCCACCGAGGTTTACCTTAAAATATTTTTTGAGTTTTATCAGTGTCTTCGTTTTCCATGATCATAGTAGTGTTCCAACAATTATACTCTCTCACCATAAACCTAAGACAAGAAAGTTGTGCGCGGGAACATCTTATTAACATCTTTTTGACATCTTCTTGACATCTTATTGACTTAATTAAAGAACTCATGCTATATTATCAGAAGTTCATATTCTGCCTAACTTCAGTGTAAACAGGGGGAGGCTTTTAAACAGAGAAATTTGGCATTTGAAATATTTTTCTGGCGTGGAACGTCTCTATCACATCTTCTTCTGAGCAACATAAGGTTTTAATTTTTTGAAATGTAATTGCCAATCATTCTGCACAATAACACACATATTTAAATCATATTGACAAAAAACGGCTATTGTAAATAGTAGATTTTTAATCATGGAAACGTCATTTCAGTTGTTCTTGTTTTTGCAAAAGTCGGTCCAATAAGTGAGTGCTTGTCTTGCAGTATAAGGCTTTCAAGAAATAGATTGTTACCATTCTCACCTCAAATCCATTTTTGTCCTTTTAACAGGGCGCACTTGTCATTTCCAAGATCATTGGTAATCATTTTGACAACAGCTTGCGCAAGGACAAATTTTCCTCGGCAGCATAACCGGATTCTTTTTTGTACGAAACTCGCGATTCATGAGTGGTTTAATGGATATTTGATTCAGCAAACCTTAGCAAGGATTACAGACTTAAAAATCTAAGAGACAATGAATGCGACATTTGAAAATTTCACTTTTAATGGCACGGAGTACTCCAGTTCATGGACAGATGCTTCCTTTCATGTAATTGTAGTGTTTTCTTTGCTTGTCTACGTCGTCGTGTTCGGAGTCGGCGGCGTGTTAGACATTTTTGTCATCTACGTAATGTTACGAAGTGGACAACTAAGGAAAAATTTTGCCAGCTTTTTACTTTTTCATTTATCTGTGACTCATCTACTGTTTCATCTTGTAATCGTCATGAATTTTTACGGGGGTCTGCTTCATAGAGATACTCAGTCTTGTAAGGCGTTTGCCTTCGTCGACCGCGCATGCCCAGCCGCTATTTTTAGCACGTTAGCTGCTATTGCGTGGGATAGACTCAAAAATATCTTACAGCCTTTTAAGAGTCTGATTTACAGACCCCTTCGTTCATATTTAATAATGACTGGAGTCATTTGGGCCTATGCTGTGTTATCTTCCATTTCGTTTGTTCACAGTGTGAAGGTACAGACTAGGAACTATTGTCGGGCAGAAAACAACAGTGATTCATGTAGACAGTACATGTTCTGTGACACATCGCAATCTACTTGGCAAATTCAGCTTTCCGAGACGATTTATTTTCTTGTGGCATTTATCATGCCTCTTTCCTATATAGCAGTTGCGTACACAAGAATTGCAGTTCGCTTGTGGAACAGAAGCAAAAATGGAGCTATGCACAGCGCTGTGGCGAAACACAAGTCAAAATCTATTCGCTTGTTGGTTGTAGCCGTGTTTGGCTTCGTTCTTTGCTGGGGACCAAGTATTTTGGGCAACATGTTAGATAAATTTCAAGTTTTTGACGGAGTGCCTGGAGTGACGAAATATTTTTTAATGGTATGGTTCATGTTTATCGCACCGGCATCAAGCTCTTGTGTTAGTACTGCTGTGTATGCTTTTTTTTGCCCTGAATTTAGGAAAAATAGCATCAAATTTGCTTGTTGTTGTTGTTATTGTTGTTGCTGCTGTAAATCGTCCCGTAATCACCGGATTAGTCCCGATGACGAGATACGTTTACAAACAAGAACGTGGCAAACTTCGATACGAAGACAGCAGGTCGATCAGAAATGAAGAAATATTTGCTTTCTTCAGTGGTTGAGCCCCGAATAATTTGGGATCCATGTCAGTGGTATAAGCGTAAGATAGACACGTCATGTTCGAAAACATGTAAAGCACCCACATAAGGCAACCTTCATACTTCAGTTGCATTGTAGAGGAAGATTGTAGGAGTACATTATGTTTTCCCATATTTAACGTAGCTAGGAATGACGTCAAACGACTTCAAGACACGAAGCAGTATTGACTCTGAGCTTGAGACTGCTGTCGGCAGTTTTGTCTATAACTTATTACAGGACAATAAAATTTAAGAAATTGGTGTATAAGTTAGTCATAAATACAGAAAAAAAATATGCATTTAGGTGATCAAACAAACATCTCTATGACAAGAACGTAAACTAGGTTGTTGCAAAAGATTCTTTGTTAAATATTAATGGGGGATATTGTAGGCGGGCTGCACACAGGAAAAATCCTATTAGGCTAACTCTTTTAATGAATATAGGGATAAGTTTCCAAAGAAACTGTGAGTGATCCAATGGGCGATCTACAATTTTGGAGCCTTGTTCTTAACGGTTCAGTCGCATTTTTGTGGTACACTACATAATTCACCGAAGTATTACCGCGCTTGTAAATAATGGCGTTGGGGCCGACTAGCGGCCGTATGAACGAAATGCGAACTGATATTGATTAAGTCACGTGGCTTAGTAGCACATGGTTTTGTATAAGAGTAGTTTCGTGTCGGGGACTGTGAATGCTATGTTCGTTTGATGCAGTTTTGTACTTTCCCCACCGTTTATCGCACAGAATATTTTTTACTGTAGGCGTAGATCAATTCGAGGCAACACAAATATCACAAAGGGTGGAAATGTCTGTATCTGAAGGTTGTGCACAAGCATGAGATGATCTGGATTAAAGCGTTGTGTTCTACAACCACGCGTCAAAAAAAGCTCTCTGCGAATTGTCCCCAACAAACGGGTACTGGTACGGGCCAGAGAAATATACCTGCAGAAAACTAAATAAGTATGGTAAAATGACTGGGGTTGCTGTAGGACCCTGTATCTCAATCTATTTGTCTATTTTGCAAGAATCACGTTAACAAAAGTACATTTTTTTCCGTACCTCAAATTTAAGACCTCATGTGCACTATTTTTCGTTAGGATTTATAATGGCACCTGCTACGATTTTATTTCATCTTAGGCTTCTCACGACCCTTGGATGAATAATTTTGGGAATTGATGACGATGTTCTCGTAACACTCCGATTCAGTCTTAATAATAGCTTATTTCATTTTGTCTTAGAAGAGCAAATGTTTTTAAGCGGGAGTGAGGCATCTAAGTAAGGAAGGTCTTCTTAAGCATCTAATGTCTGTGAGAGTTGTAAGGAAGACCAATTGGACTTTTTTTTCTGATATATTAAAATTCCCTTAAGTTATACCAAAATACAATGGGATGCACAAGAGGGAATGCAGAATTAATTCTTTCATCTTCCATGTTCCCTCACGTTTCATGCCCGTTAATAGTCACTCCCACACCGCACCTGTTGTTGCTTCTTGGTCAGCGAAGTGCACCTCAATACAGTGCGGTGCGTGCACAAACATAAGGATATCTTCAGTTTATGACAGAGACCAGAGGACGCCAAAATATTGACGTGTCTTGCTTCCATAATTCCTTGGGCCTTATACTTGTCACCAGTCGCTCAAGTGGTCCACGCACGCATGCAGTACGAACATACGCGGAAAAGTTGCTGTTCCGTTTATTGTTTAATTTCTACTCTGATTCGTCCATATTAGATGACAGGCTCCACGCGACCCAAAGGACAATGGCTTGAACAACAGAAGCAACAATATCTGAGAACTCCTTTCCTGAATTCAGGGCTCAGAAATGCGTAGATGACAGGGTTAATAGAAGAGCTGGATATCTGCAAAATTATACACCAAAAATAAACTATGAAAGAATATTCAGACGATAAATTTTCTACTATGCTATACGCCTCCAGTAATAGCAATACTAAGGTTGGCGCCCAGCAGACCACAAAAACTAGGATAGCAGCGACCATTAAGCGCGTTGATTTCATTTTAGCCTTGGCAACTGCCTTGTGAATTGTTCCATTTTTGCTTCTGTTCCATAAACTTACGGCGATCTTTCCGTAGGCGAAAAACATATACAACAGAGGAGCGACAAACGCCACCACAAAGTAGAAGGTTCTTGTAAGCTGATCTTTCCAGTCTGCAGTTAACGTGCAGTAGCTATAATCTCTACAACTTTCAGTGCCATCGTTTTTTTGGAAGCAAATTACTCTAGAGGAACTCTTGATGCTGTACAAAAACGGGAGAGATGTTATGAAAGCGTAACACCAAATCGAGGTAACCAAGAATAGGAATGTGTTCATTTTTCTGGGCGATAAGCTTTGAAAAGGCCGTAATACGTTTCTGTGTCGATCCCACGCAATAGCAGCCAAACTACTGAAAATGGCCGCCGCAGAGGTGTAGCTGACGAGTACCCAAGCTTTACATGATGTAGATGATAGCAAGAAAAGTAACTGGACTAGCTGTGACATCGGAATGACGAAGTGAAATAGCAGATGGGTGAAGGACAAATGGCAAATCAAAAAGCTCGAAATATTTCGCCGTGCCTTACCACTTCGAAGCATGACGTATATAACTACAGAGTTTAAAACTGCACCTGAGGAAAGCAACACGTAACAGATGATGAGCGACCATCGAGGAAAGCTTGCACGATTAAGATGCGTTTCCGAAGAATTAAGTAAAACGGGCTTTGACCAGTTTGCTAACGTTTGATTCATTTCTTCGTAAAAGATCGTTAGTCTTTGAACTCTACTGAACCGTTGTCTTTCAACACTCACAGTTTATAACCTTTAAAGTATTTCGATCGTGATAGTACAAAACTCAGAGGAATGAAAGCTTGCAAGCAAAGAAATTGAAAAAAAAAAAAAAAACTATAAATTTACATTTTAGATCAAAATTATTATTTACTTTTTCATAATGTACCTGCACTTTATTGCGCATCTTAAAACAACAGACTTGACACAAGACAAAACGCGAGTTGATAAGCTGCTCTTAGTCGGAAAATAGGACCAAAGCGAGGTCAAAGCTTTTCCTTTTATTAAAATGGGTAACTTCCTAAAGAAACTGTGGTGCTGCGTCAGTGGGTGGTAGCACAAGATAATTGGGTTTAACAAATTTCAACTGAGTTGATGGTGTAAATTGGACAACGTAAAGAGTTTCTTAAGCTGACGTTACGAGCGTCAGCCCTTTATCAAAAACCTTTGTTAGCGCTTCGCTCTGACGAAGGGCGAACGCTCATAACATCAACTTGAGAAAGTCTTTTAAACGGTGGCCAATTTACATTAGCAACTCGGTTGATAAAACCAAATTACCGTTTCTGGTAAGCTCGTTATATGCATCCACGTTTAGCAAGCCATGAAGGCAAATCTCCATTAAGTGTCAAAAGTAATCCAGACTGACGTAAGTTATGTCTTTCAGAGTTCTGTGATTGGTCTGGAAAACTCGCACCATTCTGTCAACGTAATCAGATGCAAAACAAGAACCAATTGCGACTTGATCACACGCGTTTTTCCTGCGCTTCTAGATCAACAAACTCATCAGACAATTTTTAGGGAAATAAAAGCAGCTACAAGAGATGATTTCTGATCTCCAAATTTGGTGTATTTCAACTGTTTAAAAACCTCCTACTCCCTCCCATAAAAAGAAATATCCATCTTTTCATAAGAATGCATTTGTGACACAGTCGCTGGCCGCGGTTTTTTGCCTATAACAGCATTAAAGTATTAAGTTCGCGTCCTCGATAGCTGGCTCTTTTTAACTCTGTTCTGATTGGCCGGCTGTTTGTATGTTTTCGCGCATCAATGTCAGTATCTGAGAATCTGCGCACCTACCCCTCCCCTAACCAAACAGAAGTCAACTCATAACAAGCTAAGGTAAATGTTGGCTCAGGGGAAAAGTAGGTGCACAGTTTCTCAGATACTGACATTGATCCATTTTCGCAAAGGGTAATGGGCCGGCCCCTAGTCACTAGTCTTTTCGCCCCCATTTGCTTTCTCGCACAGAGGTTTATTACCTATTACTAAACTTTGCCGATCAAACACCTTGGAAAATTGCTACAATTTACTCCAATACAGGAATGGGAATGGGGGGGGGGGGGGGAGTGAAGAGAAGACGCTTCGATATACTAGATTTCTGTTCTAGGAGATAAGTGAATTCATGTTGTGGAAAAAAAAAGAGAAATCATTAGTTAAGAAATCAATAGTCCCTACCAGAAGGAACTGCGTCTTCTACGTTTAATTTGAACTCAGACAAAAAAGAAGCCAGAGAAATGCTTGAAACGCTTTTATCAAAATCATTACTTCCACTAACCGTTAGTTGAAAAGATTTTTGTTTACCTTTTAGCGCTAAAACGTTCAGATCATTTCTTTTTTCAGCTGTTTGGCAGACTTAAAAAACAAATATTATTAGGTAAAATAACAAATTTCGAAAAGATGAACCTTTGTCTTCGGTGCCACAAATAAATTGGCTCCTCGCATCATAAGATGTTCAATTTACATAGAATTCACTGCTAGCTTCAGGGTAAGAGAAACTCATTTGTCATATAGTTTTACCTGTGCAATTGATGATATTACGAATTTATCTTAAATTGAAATGACGAAGGCTTTTTGTGCGTCTGTTCTTAGCCCCCAATTGAAAAAACCCTTTTTTCCCTCACAAGTTTTTCAATATTTACGGGTCAGAGATAAATTCTTACTTACGGTCAAGCTTACCGGATGAAGTTAGGAGAAGAGCG